GACTTGGACTTCCCTGTCCACCCCGGGAATGGCAGGACCTAGGATGAGACGTCTACAGGCTGGTGGCTTCTCCCAGTCAGCCACAGGTAAACAATGTCCTCTTCTAAATAGAAAATGGCTCTCAGCCAAGTGATGGTGCCTGGCTTTCAGGGGTGGTAGAAGCCACCCTGTGCATTCTGTTCTCCAGAGAACAGACTGTAACAAAGTAGGGACTCAAGCCCTGGCCCTTGCTCCCAGCTTTCCTTTCTCTGCTTGGCCAGCGGTGCCATCTCATCCCCATGGCAACGGTCCCCAGGACTGCACCAAACCCCAAACACAAGCAGGTCTGTCGTCGCATTTCTTTGTGATCTGCTTCGCCTCCTAGCAACTTGGATTATTTCGCCATTCTTAACCGGTGTTCCTGCAGGCCCTGGCTGAGAGAGGAGCTGCCTCTGCAGTTGCTTTTGTGACCTTGAACAAGATCCTCCCCTCTGTAGGCCTCCCAGCCTCACGGGGACGGAAGGCCTCTGCTCAGGTATTTTCATGCTAAGTCACTTTTCCTCCAAATACACACTTGAATTGGGACTTACACACCCAAGGTTCCCTGGCCCAGTTTATAGGTTATTTTTGTTGTTTGTTTGTTTCTTTTACATTTACCTATTCTAGGAGGACAGCGTGTGCACACCACGGCGTATGGCTGGAACTTCTGAGAGTCCTTTCTTTTCTTCCATCATGTCAGTTTCTGGAATCAAATTCAAGGTTTGGCAGCAAGTGTCCTTATCGAAACCGATAACAAGGAAATGCAAGGACAGATCTACTTGTACTGGAGATCTGGTACGGTACTAGCCATCTCTCCAGCCTCAGAGTTCGTTTTTGATGGATCAATGCTCAACCCAATTCATATTTCATGGATCTTTAGAGTTGGGGACTTAGAGGCCACCTGTCACTTTGACAATGAGGGTACTGAAGGCTGAAGACCCGCCAAAGGCCACACCACCTGGCTGTGGGAGAAGCAAGATGGAGCTCACCTAGTTCTTGCTCCACCTGAAGCCTTTTGGTTGAATTGGGGACAGCATTTGGCAGGACTCTCCTCAGAACTGTCCTACCTTATTAGGAAGCGACGGGAACCACCATGTAAGATGCACACATGCCCAGCAGCAAAGCCTGCAGGAGCTAGCTGAGCCCTGCTAGGTCTATTTGAGCTGGACACTTCCAAGGGTCCCCACCCTTCAACTCTCATGGGCACCAACAACCACCTGTGTGGGTTGCCTAGGACAGGAGGAAGTGGCCAGCAATCACAGCTCGGGGTGATGTGACCTCCCTGGGCCCAGTTTCCTCGTCTGTAAGCTGATTATGATAATACCAGCTCAGAGCTAGGAGATTGCTTAGAAAAAGTGTGGCACATAGTAGGTACTCTGTGGGGGGGGCGGGGGAGAAATCTTTTTCTCATTGTTATGATCAAATACCCATCAAGAAGCAACTCATGGCCAGAGAACTACTCAGTGGGTACCTAAAGCACTTACTGCACAAGCCTGGGGACCTGACTTCAATCCCCATTGGGGAAGGAGGGAGCTGGCTCCTCAAAGTTGACCTGTGACCTCCACATTCACACCTGCATGTGTATTTGTGTGCATACACACACATCTTTTATTAGGTAATATTACTACATCATTATGCATTTTTAGATAATAATGCAGTTGTTTTTTTAATTAGAACTGGGTTGGCAAGATAGTTCAGCAAGTAAAGGCCCTTGTCTCCAAACCTGGCAACTTAAATTCAACAACCCCTGAACCCACATGGTAGAAGAAGAGACTCACTCCTGGCCTCCGTAGGCATCTGTACACATCTGGTTCAGGCATACATACACTATATACATAAATAAAAATAAATCTTGAAGGGAAAAAAGACCATATCTCAAAAAGCTGCCAAGAAAGAGGATGCCATGGCTGGAATAGCAGCCTCCTTGGTAGACTACATGGGTTGCCCTCAGGACCTTGGAGACGATTTTCTAGAGATCTTCATGCCTCTGCTGTCAATGCTGTCCCCAACCTGGGCTCCAGACAGGTATGTGGGTGCCTTTGGGAATCCCCTGGCAGTGGCCAGGGTTCACATTGGCCATGTCATCTTATCCATCCGCATTAATCTATAGAATAAAAAAACAAGTCCTTGAGCCCTTGTGTAGAGACAAGTTCAAGTCCCCTGGCTGCCAGAAGATTCACATCTCTAAGAAGTGGGGCTTCACTAAGTGGCAGCTGAGACACGGCTCATCCCTGATGGCTGTGGAGTCAGTCACGGTCCCTGGACAAGTGATGGGCCCTGTTCACAGACGGCTTCCACTGTGCTGCCCTATACCCCACCAAGTCATGACTGTAATAAACCCTACCCAATCTGAGTTGGGGATGGAGAGGAGGGGGAGTCTCTGAGCCCCACTTTGAAACTGCTTCTGCTAAGTCATGTGCTACAAAGATAAGGATGACCAGCTCCATCAGCCCACTTCATCACCCAGCCAGGCCTGATGCCCACAACCTCTAGTGAATAATCACACCATAGGGCTCACCCCCTCCCCAAAACTCACCATCTACAAAGCCCAGTGCAGGCTGTCTGTGGGTTCTAGTCCGGTCTCTCTCCCCTCTCTCTCTCTCTTCTCTCTCTCCTCTCCCTCCTCTCTCTCTCCTCTCTCTCTCTCTCTCTCTCTCTCTCTCTCTCTCTCTCTCTCCTCTCTCCAGGGTCTCACTATGTAGCTCTGGCTGTCCTGGAACTCACTACATAGACCAGGCTGGACCTGAATTCACAGAGATCTGTCTGCCTCTACCTCCCAAGTGCTGGAATTAAAAGTGTGAGCCACCATACTTGGCTGTCCAGGACTGCTGGACTCCAAGTTCAGAGTCCAGGAGAAGCTTGAGGCCTAGACAGAAGCAGCCAGGCCGCTGAGAAGGCACTGGACAAAGGCTCCTTTCCTGAGTGCAGAGACAGCCGTCTTAGGCTCACAGATCTGTCTGCCCCTTCCACTCTCCTAACACAGCGTGGCCCCCTCTAGAGTAAAGTTGTATCCATACAAAACACATGCTTTTAACTCTTTAAAGTTTTAACTCTTTATCTTTTCTGTTGTGTGACATCTCAGAGCCTTAGTAGCGACTTTTGTAAAATGGTTATGATACCCCGTTGAGTTACGTATGAAATGAGAGAAAACAATATGTAAGACCTCTTGCCCAGGGTCTAAAACATCACAGACATTCTACAAGTAGTGGCTGGAAACGTGAAGTTGTTTCCAGACTCTCAGCCCAGCCCAGCACTGTGATGAGACAAGACAGCCGGCAGTCCCTTGCCTTTCTCCCTGGACCGGCTGCGCCAGGCAGGGATAGGGCACTGCTTTGTTAGTGTAGACCTTCTACCTCGTGACAGCAGCCAGACCAACAACCAGACTCCACACCTCAACCTGCGCACAAGTCAGGTGTCCTTCCTCCTGCAGGCTTGGGGACCCAGCTGTGGGGAGCCAACCCCTCAATCTCATGCCACGCTTTCTGTGAGACTGCTTCTCTTCTCATTCTTATAACACAGACAATGGATATAACAGGTGAAAACACCCTCCCAACAGCAAGGAGACTGAGGCAGGAGGATGGCTCCAAGTTTGAGGCTAGCTTCAACACAGAGAGACCCTGTTTCAAAATAAAATAACAACTATAACTCAACAAAAAATGGAGTTGGTGCTGTAGCTCCGTTGGGTAGAGTGCGGACCCAGCATGCGTGAAGGTTCAACCCCGCACTATGTGGTGGTGCACACACAGCCCCTGGAAACAGAGACAGGAGGCTCAGGAGCTCCAGGTCCTCTTGAGGAAATGGCTTAGTGAGTAAGTACTGGCCACTCACGGAAATACCGTAAATGCCAGTCAGGCATGGCAGCCCTGTGGTCTGTGGTCCCTGGAGTAAGCTGGTTGGCTAGACACGCAGAATCAAGCAAACTCTTGGATCAAGTGAGAGGCCTTGCCTCGATATATAATCTCATATAGATGTGTGTGTGTGTGTGTGTGTGTGTGTGTGTGTGTGTGTGTGTACATATATGTGTGTGATCAAGGAAAACACTGACATCAACTTCTAGCTTCCATACACACATGCATGAACATAACACACACACATCATATATATATGATATATATCACATATTTATAATGTTCATAGTCATCCTTGCCTACATAAAGAGTTTGAAGCCAACCCAGGCAATATGAGGCCACACACACACACATACACACACACACACAAAGCCAAAGCCAGCCAGCAGGGTGGTGGTGGCTCATGCCTTTAATCCCAGCACTCAGGAGGCAGAAGCAGGCAGATCTCTGTGAATTTGAGGCCAGCCTGGTCTACAGAGTGAGTTCCAGGACAGCCAGGACTATAAAGAGAAACCCTGTCTTGAAAAAAAAAAAAAAAAGCCGGGCGGTGGTGGCGCACGCCTTTAATCCCAGCACTCGGGAGGCAGAGCCAGGCGGATCTCTGTGAGTTCAAGGCCAGCCTGGGCTACCAACTGAGTTCCAGGAGAGGCGCAAAGCTACACAGAGAAACCCTGTCTCGAAAAACAAAACCAAAAAAAAAAAAAAAAAAAAAAAAAAGCTGGGGGTGGAGGAGGAGCGGCTTCCTCCAAAGGTCCAGGGTTAGCCAGTAACTTTGCCACTGAGATGGGGCAAAGCGCCGGCTTTGTCTGTGACCCTCAGACGGCTGTACCCCCCCCCAAGCGCTTTGTCCCTGTCTCTGTCTCTCTTCACCTGAGGCTCCAAGGCCTTCACTGCAGTCATGTTCTCCAACCCCCGGCTCCTGGCCCGCCCTCGTTACCTTGGGGGCAGGGGAGGGCAGGTGACTCCCCTAATCACATCCTGCAGCAGGATCCCTAGCTTTCTCTGTTGGTGCCCACAGCCACTGCCTGTGCCTTTAAGGACTGCTGTTCAGTGCCAGGGTCTTGACCTCAGCATCCTCAGCTGAGTTGGATTAAGGACCATTCCGTGCTTTTGGTGAATTCCTTCCCGCATCAGTTCCCTCCCCCATGTGGAGAGAGAGTAGCCTGGAGCCCCAACCATTCTGCCGAAGGCCACCAGAGAACTGGTCTCTCCTGACAGCCTTGTCCCTCCGAGAGTAAAGGTTGCTTCTTTGATAGGTAGCTTGTGACCAGGGAGTGAACCCTCAGGGGTCTTGGGCTGTCACAGGATCTCCAGAAAGCTATGCAGAATCTTAAGCCATGAAGGACTATTCCGATGTCATCCTCCGTCCAGAGGCAACTGAGCTGAGCAAGGTAAGGCTCACGTGGAACCCACCTTCCAAGATCCCAGGTCCCCGGTGAACCTGCCTGTCCCAGCCCATAAGCCTCTGTCTTCCATTCCAGACAGAGTTCTGCAATCCTGCTTTCGATCCTGAAGCAGGGCCTTCTTGCCCTCCACCAGCCTTACAGAAAGATGCCAGTAGAAGCCTCGAAGCTCCCTGGCATGGTAACCATCTTAGGGGCTGCTCGGGCACAGGAGAGAGCCCAGGAACTAAGGCGTGAGGGACATCCCGTACAGGGGTGTCTCTAAAGCCCACTGTGTCCCCCCACACACAGCCCAGCGTCTCCGGGGGCTACAGCCGGATTGTCATTTCTCCTGGCTCTGTATCCTGCTGCTCAGTGGTCTGCTGGTCCTGCTCCTGGGGCTGCTGGTGGCTGTCATCCTGGCTCGTAAGTACATGGAGAGTCCATGATCTACTCTACCAGCCCCCACGGACCTGCTCTTCTAAATGACATGCCTCCATCCTCCTTCCCCCAGAGTTCCAGGCTACATCCCTCCCCAGGACAACTGAGAGCCCACTGCCTGCCCGAGGCCTCACCCCCAAGGGTAGCATTCCTAGCTCTACTCCTAACACCAGCACCAGCACCAGCACCACCACCACCACCACCACCACCACCACCACCACCTCTCCAGCAGCCCTGAGCCCTACACACCAGACCAGTGAGTTCTAAGGGCACTCTTCCGGAGAAGGCCCAAGGTGGCAGCGGGGAGGAAAAGCCTGGAAGAGGAACCTTGGGGGTGGGGGAAGGCCTCTCTCCTATTGACCTCTTAACTCTAACCTCCATCCCCTGCAGCCTGCGGAGGCCTCCTTCCTGGTCCAAGGGGTTTCTTCAGCAGCCCCAACTACCCAGACCTTTACCCACCCCATAGCCACTGTGTCTGGCACATCCAGGTAGCCGCAGGCCAGACAATACAGCTCAAGATTCAAGCCCTCAGCATAGAAGGTGTGCTCTCCTGTCTTTTTGATCGCTTGGAAATTAGCCCAGAGCCTTCAGGTCCACTCCTCAGGTGGGTCTCTCTGCTTCCAGGGGATCCCACTTGTCTGAAGGGTGGAGAAACTGGAAGCAGAAGCAAAAATCTGACCAGAAGGAAATTAACAGAACTGACCTCTGACCTCTCCCCTGCCAGCATCTTGCTGTGGTGTGCCCTAGGGAAAGGACTTCCCTCTCTGGTCCCTTTCTTTCTTTTCTTTTTCTTTTTCTTTTTTTTTTTTTTGAGGGTAGAGGGTGTTCCAAGACAAAGTTTCTTCGTGTAACAGCCCTGGCTGTCCTGGAATTCACTTTGTAGACCAGGCTGGCCTCGAACTCACTGAGATCTGTCTGACTCTGCCTCCCAAGCGCTGGGATTAAAGGCATGGGCCACCACCTCCTGGGCTCTGGTCCGTTTCTTATCTGAGTTCAGAGCCTCCATCACCCCCAACCTGGCTTTTTTGCAGGGTGTGTGGTAAAACGCCTCCAGCCACGCTGAACACCAACACCAGCCACCTCCGTGTGTCCTTCGTCTCTGATGACGACGTCGGAAGGGTCTGGTTTCCAGGCCTGGTACCAAGCTGTGGCCCCTGGGCACTGTGAGTGACTTCCCATCACAGTTCCTAGCTGCCTCCCGCTCAGCCACTCCCAACACTGGCAAGGGGCTTGGAAACGCTGGGGGATTCTGGTTCCAGATGGTTCGTGTCCTTCTCCAGGGAGCTGTGCCCATAATGAGTTCCGCTGTGACCTGCTCCTCTGCCTGAAGCGTGACTTAGTGTGTGATGGCATTGCCAACTGTGACGATGGCAGCGATGAGGCCAATTGCAGCGCCGAGACCTTCGGTACGGGCCCAGCCATGGGACAGGGCAGGCACACAGTCAGGCTTCTGTCCCAGGCTGGGCTCCCCTGCTCCGACCCAGCGTTTTCTTGCCTGGCCACTCACGAGTCATTCGGCTTCTCTCCAGGGTGTGGAGGGAATCTGACTGGGCTCCACGGGGTATTCTCTACTCCCAACTACCCACAGCACTACCCTCACCAACAGGTAAATGCAGCGCCCTCGGGAACTGGTATGTACTCACACAAGACACCAGCGTGCCTATAGTTGTGTGCCTGGAAACAGTTTGCCTGGGAATGTACTTGGTAAAATCAGTTCATGCCGGCCAAAGGAAACATTGTTAAGCACCCAACTGCATACCCAGATATTTCCATGCTGGGTAAACACATCTATCTCTGAGACCAGACCATTTGAAAGGACATTTATTTATTTATAGACAAGGTCTCACTCTGTAGCCCATGATGATCCTGTCACTGGTGAGAATCCTCCTGCCCCAGCCTCCCAAGTGCTTGGATTATAGGTATGGGCCACCACGCCAGGCCTGGGTTTTTGTTTGTTTTGAGACAGGGTCTGACTATGTAGCCCTGGCTGGCCTGGAACCCACTGAGATCCACCTGCCTCTGCCTGGAAATAAAGGTGTGCATCCTTGTGCCTTCACCCCCCACAAAACCTGCTGGATTGTTTTTTTGGTTTTTTTTTATTTTTCCATGCCAAGGAGCAACCCCAGGATCTTGTGCAGGCCAGACAAGTTCTTTACCACTAAGCTATAGCCTTGGTCCTTGGCTTTTTGAGACAGTCTCTGTATGCAGCTCAGGAGGCTGCTTTGGAACTTGACATATAGCTTAGGCTGACCTTAAACTCTACTCCCAAGCACTGGAAATTATAGGTGTAAGCCACATGCCTGACTGACCATTCCTCTTTAAGAGGCACCAATGACGAACGTGAGGTGGCAACAGCCACACACTCACGCCTCGCCTAGTCTGCTCTGGCCATAGAAGCCCCCTGCAAGACCAGACTGAGGCAGGAGGAGGTCCCTGTGAGTTGTCTTACTTATACCCTCCTCCAGCTTTGCACCTGGTACATCTCAGTGCCCATGGGATACGGCATAAGACTACAGTTCCACAACTTCAGCCTGGAAGCACAGGCCGAGTGCAAGTTTGACTACGTGGAAGTGTATGAGACCAGCAGTTCCGGGGCCTTCAGCTTCCTGGGCAGGTACCCAGCAGGGCACCCTGAAACAGCATGTGCTCTCCTGACCAGGCCTCACTTCTGCAGCTGCTCAGCCTTACTCTTCCCACCCATAGGGCCTCTGCCTTCCCCTATTTTCCCTGACGCCCCCCCCCTCTCAAAGGGGCTCCAGTTTAAGAAGTCGTTTCATTGTAACGAAAAGCGTGTGTCTCCTTCCCCAGACCCCAAGCTCCATGAATCAGCGGTCTTGTTCCCCATCACCCTTGGCAAGGCCAAGAGCCAGAGCCCCCAGGGCTGGCCAGCGGCCTGTGCCAGGATATTTTTCTGCTCCGGGCAGGTTCTGCGGCACAGAGCCACCGCCCCACCTCATCTCCTCACAGCACCAGCTGGCTGTGATCTTTAAGACGGATCTTGGTATCAGCAGCGGGGGCTTCTTAGCCACCTACCAGGCCACCAATGCGACAGAGAGTAGGTGTCCCCTGGGCAGGTGGGTGTGGGCAATGGAGGCTCCCCCGTGGAACATCAAAGGGGACCCTGGAGGGTAGTGGGTCCAGGCATGTCTAGGGCACTGTCACGCCTCTGTGCCCACAGACCCTTGTGGGCCCAGAGAGTTCTGCCGGCACGGAGGATGTAGGGATCTGCAGTGGATGTGTGACTTATGGAGAGACTGTGGGGATGGCAGCAGTGACAACTGCAGCAGTGACTTGTTCCTACAGCCAGGTAAGGAGCCTCACCCGAGCAAGCCCTGCCGGCCACAACAGGCTGGGTTCCTACCCCACTTTCCTTCCCCCCTGATAAGTTCGTGTCTGGGCCCTTCTCTCCTCACCCCGGGACCACTTTACAGAGTCCTGGCGGGACTCTCAGCCAGGGTCAGCATTGTACACTAATGTCACCTGAAAGGGACTTGGGAATGTAGGGGTCAGTGGTAGGGGTGTCAAGACTTATCTCCCTCGTCACTCTCTACAGCCTGCTTCACAGAGCACATGATAGGAGCAGTCCCCAGTGGTCCCCAATGGGTACTCCACATTCCCTAAGATCAGAGGGGCCTGCCTACATGACGCACTGGCAAACACAGGCTCTGGAGAACAGAAGGGCTCGTTGGAGTGTGTGAAACAGTTCTGTAGTGCCTCTTGAGATACTTAACAGAAGTCCACACGGAAATAAGGACCCAGGGCCAGGCGGTGTCTTGTCCCCCACAGTAACCCAACCCTCCCCCTTACAGACCTGGCCTGTGAACCTGTCCAAGTGGAGATGTGCCTCGGACTAAGCTACAGTACCACAGCTTTCCCCAACATCTGGGTGGGCCTGGCCACCCAGGAGGAGGTGGTAGACATCGTCCGAGGCTACAAGGTGCTGGGACACCGAGCGGGGAGGCCATCGGAAGGGGTGGGCACATGGGGACTGGACATCTGAGGTTGGCCTCTTCCTCCCACAGAGTCTGACAAGTCTACCCTGCTACCAGAATTTCCGGAGGCTCCTTTGCGGGCTGCTTGTACCTCACTGCACCCCACTGGGCACTATCCTGCCCCCTTGCCGCTCTGTCTGCCAGGAGGCAGAACAACAGTGCCAGTCTAGCCTGGCACTACTGGGCACCCCCTGGCCCTTCAACTGTAACAGGCTTCCTGAGGCGGCTAGCCTGGATGCTTGTTCCCAGCCCTGACAGGACGCCAGCCCTACCCTGTCTGCCTATCCTCCTCTACCCATATGAGTGGGCAGGGCACCCTCTGTCTGCCCATCCTCCTCTACCCATATGAGTGGGCAGGGCAGGTAGAAAACAAAGGGAAGAGTGACCAGGCACGGGACTCTGCCCATCCTCTGGTGCTTCCCAAGGAGAAGGACCAGTTCCAACTCGGATCCTGCCCAGAGCTAATGGGACTACCCTACCTTCCTTCCCTGCACCTTCCCTGCACTCTTATTTGCCACGACAGCCCCAGGCAGTGGCCGGGCCCCATATTGTGCCATTGGACAGACTAGAGACTTCCTACCCGAGTCTTTGACCCTGATTCCTATCTTCGGCCTCCCCCTTTCCATTTGAGTATGTAAGATCAGTCACCAGACCTTCAGCTTTTCCGTTTAGTCAGCAAAACTGTATTGAGTGCCTACCGGTGTGGTGGGACCCTATCCTACCCCTGGGGGTCCAACTGGCTCTCTGCTTTTGGAATTCTTCACCCTGGGCTCTGCTGATCCCGTTCTCCACCCTCCACCCCACCCCCACACACTAGCCCTGACCTTGGTCTCTATCACTGCCCCATCCCTCCCTCCCTCCAGCTCCTGGGAACTGAAGCCCCAAGAACTGTCTATCTGACAGTTCAGCCTCTCTGTAATGCAGGCTCAAGCCTCTCTCCTCCTCCTCCTCCTTTCTCCACACCCCCTACACCCCCACAACTTTGGCCGGCCGCCGGGCGACACCACGAGTTATTTCCCTGCTATTTCCCAGCCCCGGAGCTCTTGGCCCCTGAACAACTGGTTTCCTCTAGGAGTTTGGGAGGAGCGCTGTGGAGCCGGCAAGGAGCAACCAGAAGCTGGAATCAGTCAGCAAGGGCAGGGGCTGCCTGGTTGGGGTAGGAGTGGGAGCAGGGCCAGCTGGAGGGTCTGAGGAAGCCATTCAGAGAGAGCAGCTGGGGGAGCTGGGGAGCGGGGAGGGGGTGAGTCTGGCAGAGGAGGAGGGTGGGTGGGGGAGGGGCTGTGGGAAAGCCTGGGCGCCAGCTAGGGGACCGGGTAGGGAGGGCTTGCTTTCCTTTCCACTCCGGTGCTCTCCCAGTTCTTGATCTGGGGCGCCCTCCTCTTCTTCCCGTCACACTACACTCAGCCCCAAAGGCATATTTCTGGAGCGGGGACCTGCTGGGTTCCACCTGGGTGGGGCGCGAGGTGGGTCCCAAGATTCTGGGTTCCGACTCTGGTCCTGCCCAGCCCACAGACTACAAGAGGATCCTGGCGTCTGGACCTCCGGGGTCACCACCATGAGACCACTTCTTGCCCTGCTGCTTCTGGGGTTGGTGTCAGGCTCTCCTCCACTAGATGACAACAAGATCCCCAGCCTGTGTCCCGGGCAGCCCGGCCTTCCAGGCACACCAGGCCACCATGGCAGCCAAGGCCTGCCTGGCCGCGACGGTCGTGATGGCCGCGACGGTGCGCCCGGAGCTCCGGGCGAGAAAGGCGAGGGCGGGAGGCCGGGTAAGAAGTCATCTTCGTCGCAGCCCTTGGGGACATCCTAAGTGAGCGCCGCAGCTGCTCTCGTAGATCCTTTGGGGTTCGAGGGTCCCGCCAGGGGGCGCTACTCCACCTCCATTCCAGTCGGCTGGGGTGGGGCGAAGTGGGCTGTGGGTGGAGGGGGTGAGTCAGCCCCAGGGAGTCAGAAAGCCTAGATCCCTCTACTCAGCACTTCAGATCTGCTGCTTGCAGGAGGCAATAGCCAGGGAGGCTGGGAGACTTAGGAATGGTCAATGGAGTCACCCTTCTGCACTGCACTGTGGCTCCTAATCTCTCCCCTTCGCCCTCCCACCCCCAGGACTGCCTGGGCCGCGTGGGGAGCCCGGGCCGCGTGGAGAGGCAGGTCCCGTGGGGGCTACCGGACCTGCCGGGGAGTGCTCGGTGCCCCCGCGATCAGCCTTCAGTGCCAAGCGATCCGAGAGTCGAGTGCCTCCGCCAGCCGACGCACCCCTACCCTTCGACCGCGTGATGTTGAATGAGCAGGGACATTACGATGCCACTACGGGCAAGTTCACCTGCCAAGTGCCTGGTGTCTACTACTTCGCCGTCCACGCCACTGTCTACCGAGCCAGCTTGCAGTTCGATCTTGTCAAAAATGGCGAGTCCATCGCCTCTTTCTTCCAGTTTTTCGGGGGGTGGCCCAAGCCAGCCTCACTTTCAGGGGGTGCTATGGTAAGGCTGGAACCTGAGGACCAGGTGTGGGTGCAGGTGGGCGTGGGTGATTACATTGGCATCTATGCCAGTATCAAGACCGACAGCACCTTCTCCGGATTTCTCGTCTATTCTGACTGGCACAGCTCCCCAGTCTTCGCCTAACGTGTGGTGAACCGGGAGCTGGCACTTGCTCCTAGAGGAGGGTGTGACATTGAAAGGCGCATACCAGGAGGGCTGGCCCCCTGGAATATTGTGAATGATTAGGGAAGAGAGGGAGCCACCCTCCTGTCCCACGGCTGGCAAGGAATGGAGACAGAGGCTGTCTGAGGTCAAGACAGGCAGCATGGAACAGTGGCTGGGTTTCTGCCCAGGACTTTATAGAGTGTGCTGTGCTGGCAACTGTGGGTTCCTGGTTGCCCCCGGTCCGGGATTTTAAAGTGGGATGCTCCTTCCTAGTCCTGTGCCCCTCTAGGTCCTTGACTCCATCTCTCCTGCTCCTAGGGCGGGCCTTTTTCTCAGAGGTCACTCAATAAATCTCAAAAACCTCCCACTGGCTTCTGCCTTTCTTCTGAGGACCCACAGCAGGGAGGGTTCTTGGGTGGGATGGAGCCATGAGGCAGAGATATAGCAAGCAGACCTAGAATAATCCACGGAGCTGCCACCTAGTTATGTAGAGGGTAAACAGGATTGCCTGACCAGAGGATTGCCCTCCTGATTTGGGGCTCTGGCCACGCAGAAAAAGGGACACATTTTTCTAATTCAGACATGCCAAACCAAATGGGATCAGCCACTGTCTGGTCTAAAAAAGAATCAGGGACTTCCAATCACCAGTGCCCTCGATGTGAGCCAGATAACGGTAAAGATACCTGCTTTCTTAGTTAACTGGAAAGCTACTGCTCTCACCCCCACCCAGAGATAAGTAGTTTCTGGGATAACCACAAGGGGGCGACCAAGCTCCAGATTGCAGTAATGATTTAAGGTCTGGACTTCTATGGTAACCGTTAGGAGAAAGAAGGGTATTAAGGTCTGAAGAAAGAATTTCAGATGAAAGTAGAAGAAAAGGAGGTCCTCGGCCCCCAGCTCAGGAAGTTTATCTTCTCTAATAAAATGTTTATCCTCCACATTAAACAGAGACTGGAAGGAGCCAGACTTCTCCTTGCTCAACACCCTGGGGCGGGAGTGGGATGTGTGTGTAGGGGGTGGGGGGTGTTGCAAGCCCTGCCACAGGCCTCCAATTAAGGGGTGGAAGTGGAGAACTGTCTCCACTGTGCTGGGCACAGTCTGGGTGGGCCAAGCCATTAAGTCTGAGGCTGGCCACGGGTCCCCTGAGGGCTCACCTCCTGTGACACTCAGCTTAGCAGGCTCAGGCTAATGACTAACAAACACAGAGTTTGCTAATCCCAATTGCTCAACCTCTCAATGCAGAGTGGAGGGACCTCCTTCAGGATCCAGCATCTCCCCTTCTTCCATAAGACATTGTGCTTCTAGGTGTAACATAAAATTACAGTGGGGAGAGCCGGGCGGTGGTGGCACACACCTTTAATCCCAGTACTCGGGAGGCAGAGGCAGGTGTATATCAGTGAGTTCAAGGCCAGCCTGGTCTACAAAGCAGTTCCAGGACAGCAAGGCTACACAGAGACACCCTGTCTCGAAAAACAAAAACAGATTACAGGGGAGCGCCCCTAAATTCCTGCGGGCAGTGGGAAGGCAGCTATATCAAAGGGCCTTAGGCTTCTGTGTCTTTCAGACAGGCCTGCAGACCTCTAGGCTCCAGCTCACACCTCTAGCAAAAAATCCCACACTCCAGCCTATCACAGTACCAGGCCCTGTACCAAGACACAAAAAAGACAAGCACCACTCTGGGCATGGTGGTGCACGCCTTTAATCGGGCAAAAGCAGGTGGATCTCTGAGTTCAAGGCCAGCCTGGTCTACATGGTGAGTTCCAGAACAGCCAGGGCTACACAGAAAAACCCGCCCTGAAAAACAAAAACAGACAAGCAGGAATCGGAAGGAGGACTGGCCTCCAGACAGCAGGCTCCACTGTGCCCTCCTGGGAAGAAGGGTACCATTGGGAGCACAGGAAGGGCAAGCCACAGGGGCAAACAAGTTCTTACAAGGACTTAATGCAGTACAGAGCAGAGTGCTGTTCCAGAGCCGAGTGCAGCAGGTCAGATCAGAAGGGTGAGCATCAAGCAGACATGCTTGGTGTGGGCTTTCCCTCGGCACCGCCCTGCCACCCTGTCTCCACATCCCCACCTCCAAGCTAGGTAATCCAGATGCTCCAGTCTGGCTGACCACCTGCTGGCACCTGCAAGGACCACACCATGAGAGCTGTCAACAGAACTTTATTCATAGAAACTGGACAGGCAGACCTAATGGAGCCGCATGCCCCGAGGCCTGCCCCTTGTTTGGACCCTAGTGAAATGTGCAGAATGCCCTCCCCAATGCCAGAGGGAGACCAGGAGGAATGCCGTGTTCTACGCCATGTGGGGCATGAGGAGAATGAGTAGAAATCTGGTTATTCCTTCGGAGGCTCCTCTTGGAGCGGGGGTGCCTGAGGGTAAATGGTCCCAAAGCCAGGTTTAGCTGCACCCCTGTACCCAGGGATAAACTCCTGACCCAGGTTCTGGGTCAAGTTGGGAGACTTTAAGACGATGACAGGCAGAAGTGGTTCATAGGGCACCTAGGGGATTCTACTCCCAGACCCACCAGGGCGGAGGCTCTGGGTGAACAAAAAGATTCCATTCCAAAACAAGAAAACCCAAAAAATAGAAAAATTAAGATCACTCCAAGGCCCAGGAGTTGCCAAAATCCTCACATGACATGATGTGGTGTGGCCTAGGGGGGATAGGACCAAAACCCCCAACAGAAAAGCCAGAAGCAAAGAAGGACAGCCCCAGAGGCTGGTGTCCTGGATGGGCCCTGGGCAGACTGGGGAAGAGCTGCCATAGTCTCAGGGCCCCTTGCATAGTGACATACTCACCACCCTCCGCATCACAGGGCCCCACACAGGGTTCAGAGGAACGGTTACCCTGCCCCACCCAGACTGGAGTCTTCCAGAGTATTCCAGCTCCATGTCCTGGGCATATGGCTTGAGGCTTGACAGAGGTGCCGTCATAGGGGCAAAGAAGACTCAGGCCAAATCCCAGAGGAAAAACGCTGATGCTGTCCTGGTGTGGGGAGCGCAGAGGGTGGGCAGGCAAGGAGGGAGTCATCAGAGGTAGACATTGAGGGTCTGCAGGATGCCGCGACGGCAGAGTGGGCAGTTGCGGTTGTAGATGGGGTGGCGCATGAGGATCTCGGTGCAGGCCTGGCAGAGACACAGGTGCCGGCAGGGCAGAAGCAGCACGGTCTTGCTCTGGTCCTGGCAAATGACACACTTCTTCCTCTCCTCCTGCTCCTTGAGCAGCTTCCACGGGTCTTGCCCAGCCGTAGGCTCATCCTCGTTGAGTCTCTCGCGGCCTCTAGCAGGTGCTGCTCTGACGGTCCTGACGTCCTCCTCGTCTGCTTCAGGAAGGGTGTCCTGTCCCTGGATCCTGGCTGAGAACACCCTCCTGGGGCCACCTTGGGGGGCCCCCGGCGCTCCTCCCCGATTCGGCCAGCTGGCCAGCTGTAGGCTTCGGCTCCAGACTCGGCGCCAGGCCTCGAGACCCAGCGCAAGGCGAGACAGCCGCACAACATCCTCCCGAAGTCGGTGGTAGGACGGTTGGGCGTGGAGCTGACCCAGTGCTCGGGTGGCCAGCCTCAAGGTAAGGTCTGGGTGCAACACAGCCAAAGCCACGGCCAGCACACAGGCCAACAACACCAGACCAGTGACGTGGAAAAGCACAAAGCTGGCCAGGAGGCGGACAGCTGAGGCCAACAGCTCTAGTACTAGTTGGCAAGGGGTCCACAGGAGGATGGCCATGGCCACCGCGCTGCTGGAAATGTGAGCGAGGAAAGCAGCCAGCACGTCCGTCATCCTCCACAGAGGCCCCACCACGGCGTCCCACAGGGCCAGCACCAGGGAGAAGAGGTTCTGAGTGCCGATGAGGCAGATGTTGACCAGACTGTTGATCACATAGGCCACCAGGCTCATGGCGATGGCACAGATGTCACATGCCTGGCGCAGCAAAGCATGGCCATGGGAGACCATGTTCAGGATGCCCCTGTTCAGTATTTCTCGGCTCCTCAGAGCTCCGTGAGAGGCCAGGTGCCCAAGGAGCTTTAAACTCTCCAAGCCAGAGTAGCAGCTACAAAGGAAAGTACACAAGGCCTGCAATCCCCCAAAGGCGAATCGAACCAATGCTTCAACCAAGGCCAGCAAAGAAAGCAGGACTCCTCGACCCAAGTGCAGAAGACTAGTCAGTACCGTGTGTGGCAGGTTGTAGATGAAGGCCAAAAGCCAGGCCAAGGTAGCCAGGAGGGAGGACACGAGCAAGAAGTTGAGATCCAACACCAAGGTCAGCAAGTCCAGCACCAGGCCCACCCCGTTCACCACCAGGAACACAGCCTCCATGATAGGGCTGTGGAGTCCAGGACCAAGGGAAGCCTGGCTCCCCGGTGAAGGCGGTGCCAAGGTTGCCAGTATCTGGAGAGTCGGTGGTTAACTTGGAAGGGATGTGAACGCCTAACCAAGGGAGAACCAAGGTCTAAAGTGGGCTGGAGGGAAGACGCTTCGGAGAGGAGAAGGACTCCCGGTTTGGAAGGCGAGCTGTGTGGGAGCAAAGAGGCGGAACATCTCTAAAGTGACAGTGAGCCGGGACTGGAGGAAATCCCTCAGCTTGGAGCGACATACAAGGCCGGGCAACGGGTCAGACCGGGAGGAGACCGGGAAGGCTGGGACCGGATCGGGAAGGGCCGGACCGGGCCGGGGCCGGGTGGGGGCGGCGCAGGCTGGGGGCAGGCTCGCGGTCCAGCCACGCAGGTGCCCCTGTCCCCGCCCGGCCCCTGTCCTCCCGCTCGCGGCGACTGGCACCCGAAGGGAGAGAGGGACAGGGAGTCAGCCTCAGCAAACCCCAAGCGCGGCCTCGACTCCACTGGGCGCCGCCATCTTGTGTGCAGAGGGGTGGGGCAAGTGGGAGGCGGGACGATAGCCTGTGTCCAATCGGTGAAGGGCAATGGCAGAAATGTCGAAAAACCATTGGTCTTTTTGAACAGCGCCCAAGCGACACAGTTCCCAATGAGAGGGATGGAAAAATATGTAAAAGCCCCTCCTCTTTGGAGCAGTGATTGGTCTGTTCTCATGTCGGTATAACCCCCCCACCCCGCCTCTTAAAGAGCCAGAGCAGACTTAGATGAGGCTGCCTAGGAGAGTTATCACCCTCACCCCTGCTCACCCACACCCACTCCGGGTCCTGGAGCATGCGCTCTTTAAGCTCTGGGCTGGACTCTGGGATCGTACTGCCTCCGTGGGACCCGCTGCTTCATCTTCTCATTCATCATTCATTTTTATCATTTATTAAGCACCTACCGTGCTTTGGAAACACAACCCTTTTTAAGATACCGTCTGGTCTCAAGCTATTCACAAAGAGAAAAAGATTATTCCAGGAGATTCCCAAACTGCT